TGAGAAAGCGAGGGAACATTATATGGGGAGATGTATACAACTGTTTGAAATAATTATATACAATAATTACAATATCCTACATAATCATTGTGTTTCTAGACAGAGAGTTCATAGTGCTATAGTCATCTATGTGCTCTATACTGTATACAGGAGGAGGAGAGGGGAAGGCTTGCAGGCACATGAGCATAAGCACACAGACGCTGAACTTAAGCACATCACCAGAGTGTGTGTTCTGTAGTTATGGACAAGTGTCTGTCTGTAGATGTGAGTACACATGGGGTGGGGTAGGAGACAGAAACCCTGCTCTATCCATGGAACATCAGCCATGTGTATCAAAGTATACATATGAATACATACGCATGCCCACTAAAGCTAGAGCCATACAACTATAGTTAACACAGTCTCTCCATGGCTTTATATATGTATGTATACATGTACATGTGTATGTATTTTTACTGTTTACATAGTTTATTGGGTGCACACATGCAGTTCACCCATATAACTCTCTCGTGCTGTAGCCCCTTATGCAGAATGGTCCCTCCTTAGCTAGCTATGTAGTATTTTTATATATACACACAGAGGCCCTTCTATAATCTTACACACACACTATATATATAGTAATGTGACTAATACAATGTATGGTATCTTCTATAAGCTATATACTATTTTATACATGTGTACCAGTCACATATTTCTAGCCATATAGATATATAAAAGACACTTAAAATACTAAAAATACATACTAAAATTAAAAACAACACATTAAAATGTTTTTCTATATGCACGCACCTTATATATAGGGGGAGAAAGAGACAGACACCGGTCTACAGGTGTAACACTCCCCATTTTATATATAGACAGGTTTAGGCATGCATATGAAAATATTTTTGTATATGTGTATGTATTCCCAGACATAAAAATCCATATTTCTCCTTATTTTTATATATACAGAAACACTTAGAGAACAATCCATCCGTATGTTTTACTACACTTTTATCTGTAGCTAGTGCTGTGTGTACATGTATGTTACTGTTTTATATATATATATATATATGAAAGAGCATGTAAGCAACTCCTGTAACTATGTAACACGTCTTTAATTATCCACGCATGTTACCGTGTAGAAGACAGACACACAAGAGACAGACCCGCATGTAGCTGTACAGCAGACACAGCTCTAGCGTGGTCCCAGCTGTACGCACCCGCGGGCCCATGGCCTTTGAGCCTGTGGGGCTCAGGGACATCGAAGAAGACTGGAGGGAGGCAGACGTCACCCCCTGGAGCAGGAGGAGCCAGGGCTCTGCCCTCAGTGCCTGCGGAGGTGATGGAACCAGGCCCTCGGGGGGCTCCAAGCCAGATAAAGCACCTGACTGAGAAACGCCACCACGATTCATTCAGCCAAGGCAAACGAGGCATGACAAACCTCATCTGCAGCAGAGTAACCTGCCCGGTTGAAGTGGGGCTAGCCATGGCATTGTCCACCTTGATTTCCCCAACCCTTTACATACGGTCTGCCACAGCCTCCTCCTACAGCAGCGGATGCGGTACGGTCAGCACGGGGGGGCTGTGGTGTGTGGGGACCAGCCGCACCCCAAGAGCGGGGGTGAATATATACCTATGTATGTAGCCGTACAGCAGGAGAAGACAGGCATCACTCGGGCATCCCGCTGTGGTTTAGATACAGGCGTCTGCAACACACGGCGGGGAGGAGGAGGGTGTCACACCGCTACCGCCATGTCGGTACCACAGACCCCCCCCGCCCCGGGCACCCACCGCCCTCCCGCTGCCACACGGGCAAGATGGCGGCCGCTCCCCTCAGCCACGGCCGCCGGCGGAGCCTGGAGCGGGCCGCGGGCGCCCCCCAGCGGCGGCCTGGCGCTTCCCGCGGGGTGGGGGATCCGCGTCCAAAGCTTGGGAACGGGAAACGCCACGGGGGTCCCGGGCGGGAGCAGAACGGGAGAGGCGGCTGCTGGGGCTCTTAGCGCAGCCCCTGAGCCTTCACACCTCACCTGGAGCGGGCAGCGCCGGGCTGGCAGGACCGAGAGCCGCTGCCCGTCCCCATAGGCGGCGGGACGCTCGCAGGTGGTGGCTCTGGTCGCTCACCGTCCTCCGCGGCCTGGCAAGGGAGGTGATGCTGCGGATCCCGCCGCCGTCCACCCTAGAGTGAGGATTCCAGACAGTGAAGACAAACACCGAACCCGTGGGTGGAGAGGGGCGATTCCGGCCCCGACACAGCGGGACGGGTCTGGTGTGCTGGAGGGTACGAAACAGCCTAACGGAGAGCCGTGAGGCTTCACAGGTGAAGGGAACGGGAACACAGCCGTGGGCTTCACTCAAAGAAAGAGCACTTCACAGTAAGCCATGTAAATAGTGCTGTGCTGGGGTCAGGGGCTGGGCAGGGGGTCCCAGTTACACCAGGAAATCCAGCAGCACTGCCGAGCCCCTGCAGCTGTGCCGCACGGACAGGGCAGGGCCCCAGAGCTGCGGCGTGGGCTTCCTCAGCCTGAGGGACAGCAAGGGAGGCCACGGGGCAGCGGAGACCACGATGAGTGTGAACCCATCGGGCACAAGTGGGGACCAGCTGTGAACTCAAAGGCAGGAAGAGGGAAAAGCTGTTCAGTGACCACATGCTGCGTCTCAAGCAAGCTGAAAACTGGCATTTGGGGTCATCCCAGACCCATTTCAACTGCTTCATGTCAGAGACCACTGAACATGGTTGGGTTTTTTTGGTTAACCTTTTATTTAGGTCTCTTCATGTTGCAAAGTAAACACAGGTTGTAATGAAACATCTCCCAACTACTTCCCTCTGTTTTAACTTTCGGGGGGCCATTACTCTCTGCTGAAGGTGGCAGTCTCCCACAAAAACAACCCCTTGGTTTTCCCACAGGCTCACATTAATTATTAAACAATAATGCCCAGCTCTGGTAACACTTGATACTGAATGCCTGTGTCTGTCTGAAAGGCCATCTTACCTCATCTCTTACCTCAAACAGACCACAATTACCTTCTATGTAAGCCAACCACTCACTGCTGTTGCTGGCTTTGCTTTCAGTGCATGGCAAGATGTCCAACACGAGAAAGAGCCTGCACCATCCTCTGCCTCAGGCAGCAGTGCAAGCCCCTTTCAACCTGCTCCTGCCTTGGCTTCAGCTGGGATTCAGCCTGGGAAGCCAGAAGCCTCTCTGCATCAGCACAGCAGTCGTGTTCCAGGCTGGATCAGTTCCTGCTGATGCGCAAATCCTGCCTGCTCCAACTACCTACAGAAACAAATAAATACAGAGGTACAGCCCTTCTGCTCGGCCTCAGCGTGCCTGAGCTTCCCACAGCTACCACCGCACTGAGATACCCTCAGGGCCATGCCGAGGGAGCAGCAGAGCTCCATTTCCAGCCTGGCCAGCACTGGTGTTCAAGGGACCTCTGTCCCTGCACCACAGGGACAAACTGTGGGTATGTCTTGAGTTGACATGATTATCAAGGCCTAAAACTCATCACCTTTATACACCTCATACACAACAGTCCTTAAGTAATAACCCATCTGAAATGGGGTTATACAACATGACCTATTCTGCTCTGCCTCAGCATTCTCTCCTGCGCACCTTGTTGCCCTACAAACTGCAGTGTGGGGCTTTAACCATACCTGGAATAGCAGCACGGTGCCCTGCACCCAGTGGTGAAGGTGTGCCAGTGGGCTGCAGTCACCCACTGTGCTGCACTGCTGAGAAGTGGCTACCATGACATAAAACAGTGAGAAGCAAACCAAACCGAGTGCAGGGCTAGCACAGCCCGTACCGAGGTGCAGCTCCCTGTGTGGCTTGCCTGAGCTCTGGTCTGTGTGAGAAAGTCTGGGGGGGGGGTTAAGAAATTGCAGCTTACAAACATATCTGTGAGTGAGGACTCTGAGCTGTGACTTTACAAAGAAGAATTACACTTGCCTGCGGCGCTGCCAACCAAATGTAGTTCACATCTGACAAATGCTGTGTGTGCCAAACAGCTTGAGCCCAAGCTATTTAAAAAGAGAGCTGGATTTAGTTACTTGGTACATGCAACAAAGCTGATGGCAGTATAGTAGCGGTCATAGCCTCACACACCATCTCCAACACGTCAAAGAAAGCATTTTCCTGCTGCAGCAAAGAGCCTTTTGGAGCCCCTAAAGAGACTTCAAAACCTTTGGTGAAACCATTAACCCTGCTGAGGGCCATTTTATAAGTCATAAGAATTGCACAGAATGGCTGAAGTGGTTATGAGATAAACAGAAATCCACATTTCCTGGCTGTCCACAAGGCAGGGTAGTCATCCTTTAGCTTCACTTTCAGAAGACCACACAAAATCCAGTTCCAAGAGGTCTAACACAGTGAGCCTCTTACACTGCCAAATCACTGCAGAGCAGACAGCACAGAAATACCTGCTGTGAGGAATCCCTGCCAGATGCAAAGTTGAAAGAAAGCCTGTACCAGAACCCTGCTTTGAAGGAAATGATACCTGTCCTCCATTACACCCAGGTTAAACTTCATCAAAGACCTCAGCTCTGTCAGCAATAAATGGATGCAAAATTTCAAGAGTGATACCTGGAACCTGCCAGGGCACAGCATCTTTACAAACCCATGCTCATAAGGAGCTAATTTTACCCTCTCAACCCATCGCGTCTAGTGAGACAAAAGGAATCTTACTCCATTTTTAGCATCACGTGGATTAAACAAAGCCTCTTTTAACAAGGAGGCTCCCATTACTGAACGTGTCCTCTGAGGAAAACCACAGCTGAACTATGAGGTGCCCTTCTCAACTTGTGAGTCATCAGCTTGAGGTGGACAATAAAAGGACATAAAAGTCATCCTGAAAGCCTCTATGTGGGCAAAGCTGTTACGTGCTGTGGTGTTCAAATAGGCATTGCAAGACCTGCCCTTGTATTTGAATGTTGCCCTCACATGCCTGGTCTTAGTGCTATGACCTATGGCTGAACTCCTTCCATAATGATGTTTTCACCAAGGAACAGAATCACCTGATCCATAGCAATAACAGAAATTTTATATCCCTGTACAGGGGAAAAAAAATCCAATGAAAGCTTAAAAATTCCCTTCCCAGATACAGCCTGGCAGTGAACAGGGACTGAGCGGTGCCAATCCACCTTGTGCTTGCTACGCCACCAACCTGCTGGTACGTGACCATGGAGATGCAGCCATTCCTGCCTTCCTCCAGTCCCACTGCTGAGAACAGATGACAGCGTGCAGGGAACGTGTGAGAACGGTCACATGTGCTTCCAGCTTATGTGCCAAGAGCTCCTGAAAGATGCTGCTGGGGAAGATGGTCACATCTTAACAAGCTAACGTTTAGTTTGGCCCCACTTCTACTCTATTATCTGTATCATGAACATATATATGTATAAAAATGTGGTTTTCCCTCTTTAAAAGCCCCTCAACCCCATTACCCATGATAATGTGGAGAGTTGGAGGGTTTTTTTCCTTTTCAAAGCGATTATGATTATGTGCAACCTTTGCTCCCAAGTCATTCACACAGAAAGCACAGACAAGCCCCCCTGCTGCGAAGTGACAGCTCGCTCTGGCTCTGCAGGGCTTTGGTATTCATAGTTCCACAAGGTCATCGCTGGAAAAAACCTTGATGGTGATGCGACCTGGCACCTCGTCTGCTGCCCGCCTGCCTCTCCCTCGGAGCTGCAGCGTCTGCTCTTCTCTGGGGTCACTGGGTGAAGCTGACAGCACCGCCTGCCCAAGGAACTGGTCACACAAGATGTTGCTGTTCCAGACCTAGAGACAAGGGACCAGAAATAAACCCTGCTGAAGCAGTGCTTTTCTTGCATTCCACCTGAATGGGTTGTGCTGGAGGAGGGTCACAACCATTCACCCCTTGAAAAAGCAGTGAGGAGGGGGAGGACATCTAAATTTAGCCAAATGTCTAGAGAGTGTGTGGGAGATTCTGGATTTGCATGCTCATTTACATATACTATGCAAATATAGAGCTACATTCAGCTTTATGCTTTCTAGGTCACAGTCTGCCTGGAAGAGGAATAAAAATGACTTTGTGAGGCTTCTCTCACCTGGACAATGATAGGGCTGTCGATGTTCTTCCTGTAGAAAACCACTTGTGTGTTGAAGACGGCACTGGAGGTATCGTGCTGCACAGGGGAGCGCACGCTCTGGTTCTCACACTTGATAAGCACATAGGGATCTGCTCCTAAAACACAGTCAGCAGTACAGCAATTAGGACACAGAACGGGAGCTGAGACCTGCCCAGAAACCCAACAGAAACAATCCCCTCCTGTGCCTGACAGCACCACTGCTACCGAGCACAGAACAGGGCACCAGAGCACATCATGTCCGCTGGTGGAATGCCTCTTTCTTGTAACAATGGGATGCTCAGAGCTGGAAACCAAGCACCATTTGCTGTGAAACCAGCACACTCCCAGACTGAGGTTGCAATCTTGCCACATTCCCTTGCTGTGCATCTTCCTGGCTCATCTACAGAAAGCCTTCAATGTGACACTCTAAGCTCCCCGGCTGCTCTAGATGTGTGAGCCAAAATGCATCCGTGCATATGCAAATGTGGTCTGTAGTTCTGAGTGCCTGGGCCCAAATGGGAGGTTAAAAATGTTCATCATCAATTCCTATGGAGGGCAAGGACGGGAACTGCACAGAACTTCAGATCACTGAATGCCCCCACCTTTAGACTGCCTCACTTGAAAGTGCTGTACTCATTCTGACAGGAGTACTAGTGTTAGGAGGTAGATTTTAAGCAGCAGTTTCTCTCCTAGAAAGTAAAACAGTGCCAAAATGCAAAAACATTCTGTAATAGTGCATTGGTCTCAACAATGTTTTCTGTGGGAAACTGTCCAAGAAAATCCTCCCCAGTTTCTCCTCTCATTCCCATGAGCCCTCGGTTCTGTCATTCGGGTGAATCTAACTTTAAAGTTGATGTTATCACAACATGCCTGTATCTATAATAGGTCCTAATGCATGTTTTAAATTACACTTTAATCACACATACCCCACTGAGATTACTCAGCATTCTAGAAATGCTTTGTTGGTTTTACACTGAGCATTTTTACTTTGTCATAATTTCTTTCCATGCTGGTACAGAGAAGGAGTCCATTTGGAAATACCTGTCTTTATCCTCAAAGGGAACGGGCCTTTCCACTTGCTGATCAACTTGAATTAAACACAGGCGCCACCACGTTTTGAATTTCAACATAACTATTTCTGTCCATTCCTATTGTTAGCGGACACCCCTTGCTACCCGTTAAACATAGATGTTAAACAGACTCTTGATCATTTCGTCACCATCCATCTACTTGGAAATGCCACCATTGGAATGACAGCCATAAGGCAGCATGATTTTAAGGTAGCTTTTGCCTTTTAGCAATTCATACCCAAGATGATTTCCCTCAAACACGTCACTCCTAAGAACAGATACCAACACCTCGCACAAACAAACTACCACCCAAAACAGGAGGACCCGCTTCCACTGACGAGAAAGCAGCAGATTTTCCCATGTGCTGTGCTGTGATTACACCTGGCCAGACATGCCAGGCCTGTTACCCTAACAACATCCCACACTTCCTATAGCAGGTAGCAGTGCATTGGCTTTCCTGCGAGACAATTACTTTCTGTGTCACTGAATGTGTGGGTTTAGCTCTGGGGCATGGTGTGGCACCACGCTGTGTGATCAGTGATGGGAAAGCTCCCCCCCCCTTTCCATTTGGAAAATGGGTCTGAATAAAACGGGGTCTTGCATGAAATGGTGTCAACTACTTTCGCCAGAGGCAAAAAGCAAAGCAAGGTCTGATCATTAACAGTAATTAAGAGATAAAGGGTATAAAAAGGGGTGGGGAAAGGACAGAGTTTAAAGGGGTGACAGGCATATCTGCTGCAGCTGGGAGCTATTAATGAAGGGACTTGCTATGTGAAAGGAAAAAGCTGACATGTGAAACATGTGAAACAAAGACTCAAATTATCAGGCAGTGATCAGGGAAAGAAAGGGATGTAGAAGAGGAACATGAACGGTACCTGCAGAGCACCACCTCACAATGGCGTTGCTGAATGCCCAGTTACATTGGGAGGACTGACTCCAGTTCCACAGCAAAAGATAAAAATGGGAGAGCTGCGCATGTGGGATGAGCCAAGGGACGCTCTCAGCTGCATTTTGCCCAGGTTTCTGCAGCTCTGGGCTCATGTATTTTCGGTACCAAGACAATGCAGAACGTTCTGCTAATGTGGAAAAGCAACATCCTAGTATTTGCCATGAGCTGGGAATGAAAACAACTGGAGCTGCTACTCCGGCAACTCTTCTGGAAGAGGACTGGGCTCAGTTCTCAGGCATACATATGGCTCAAGCTATGCCTTGAACACCATGCTGTGTATAAACAGCTGTTTCATCAGCCCTATGGCCTGGCTGTTGTATTGGGAAGCTGTATGAAAAAAACAGGGCAAAGGGAAAGGCTGAAATCCTGTAAAAGCCAGGAACATTTGAACAGTAATGACATTTCTAAGGCTTAAAGAAACCTATGCACAGTTCTCTCTTTCTGTATGAGAACTGGCTCCTCAGATACAAAAAGCTTTCTGAGAAGTTCTCAGAGATATTCCCATTCTTCTCCAGTTTAGACCACAATTACTGGTACATGGAGAGCCAAACTCAGCTGCTGGAAACAGCCATGGGCCAAGCAGAGCAGGCACGGTGCTGAAACACAAGCATTGCCTTGGGAATTACAACAGGTTGTTTTGCTTTTTGCAGTTGAGCCTTTGCTCATGTGCCTCTTGGCTTCTCCTGAAATACAGATAAGCAAAGGGAGTCTTTCCACTGGCACCACGATATCCTCTCCCCACCTCTGCTCCATTTTCTCCCTGCTTCCCTTCTGCTTTCACTGGATTATTTACCAGCTGGTTCTTGCCTGCTCTTTCCTTCTGTTTCTCAGACTGCTCCTAAGGCAGCTGCCATTAAAGGTACCAGACACTCAGCTTCCCAGGTATGTCCCATACTGGGCATGACAAACACCTAGTTCAGAAAAGTGGTGAAAGGCAAACATACGAATTCAACCTGGAATTTCGGTGGGAAATGCAGCAGGTGATTTGTTCTCAAGGGTAAGCTTTGGGGGAAGGAGTGTGACAGCAGCGAGAGCAACTTTTAAAGCAGACTTGGGAACGAGAGACGGAAAATCTCCAAGCACACAGTGCTGCCTCATCCTGCAAACCTGCCACTGCGCTTGGCTCACATATAGTTGGATCAGCTTCAGAACAAGCTAACTCAGAGAGGTACTTCCAAGAGAAGCAGCCTATATGCATTTGGAATTGAGTCTGGGCAGCCACATTCATCCACTATTCCTGTCAACAGCAAACCAGCCATTATTTTTTTCCAAACAGGACGATGAATCAAAGACAGCAGCAAGGAAGAGCTTTCCAATAAGCATTAAAAACTGAGATTAAAGAACCCTCCCCTGGCAGGGAGCAGGCTTCTGATGACAACCAGCTCATGAACCAGGCCGGATGTGCACTTGCTGTGCAATCATCATTCTCTTCCAGTTTTGTTTAAGCAATTGCTCAGAAATCTGTGCTAAGCACAGCTCCCAGATGACAGTGATGGGCTCATGTCAAGAGCAGTGCATTCAAGTCTGAAATCCCTCTGTCCTAGTTACATAAAACAAGGTATTTCTGTTCAGGCTGCTCTTGCTTTGTGGAACTGCATACCCCAGTGTCAGAGTAGAGAGATGTCCTGATGCTTTCAGGACAACTTGTCAGAGAGATGTAATGCCACATCTCAGTTCTCAGAAGCTCCAGATGAATCCTAACCTCCTCTTCAAGCTTTGTCTTCTCTCTATGCTAAGGGATGATAGTGACAAACCAGGCAGGTGGTTGAATAAGGTGGAATATAGATGACAACATAAGAAGAAAAGCAGCTTGAGAGCCGAGAAGATGCAGATCAGAAGGTGGCGTCAGGAAACCCTTGTGAAATGCAGTGGTGCTAATCAGACACAGCAGCTCACAGAGGAACAAGGTGCCAACAACCTTCACACCAGAAAATGAGTAACCTTTGTGTGAGGTCCTCTTAGCAGCAGGCACACACAACCACTTCATCTACCTATTTTCTACTTGAATAAACGTATTGACTGTGCCTAACCTGAACTTGTCCCTCCCAGTGGTGATTGCTGTGTGGCCTCTTCCCTCATCTCACAGTATTGATTAGACACGAGGCTGCTGTTGACTTTTAAATCTAGTTCACATCGGGAGCAGCAGGTAAGGCTGGTATTCCAGTAACTGCCCATGTGACCGAGGTCTGAACTCTCTTTGGGGAAAGCTGGTCTTTACTGAATGCCTGGCTGCTATTTCTCCTGGAGATAAGCATGGCAGAGTCCAGACATGGATCCAGTAAAGCCAGAGAGGAGACAAGGGATGGTAAAGGATTGCACTCTTTTGTGGCAGCATTAGGAAGCAATCTTAGAACATGGGCTATTTCATGTCTCTGGACACACTACTTTCTAGCGTAAATTTACAATCCAGCCAGTGTGCTTCAAGGAATGTCTATATCCACTTCTTTAATCTACCAAAAAAAAAACAAACCCAAATGTGAGAAACATGTTCCATAGCCAGCTTTCTGCTACCAGGAATGCACTCTATCAGTCAGGACCTTTGCCAAATTTCCCAGCGAGATGCCTTTAGAAGGCAGAGTGCTGTTTACGGGTGTCATCCTGCTCACTGCACAGCTGGATTTCGGTGTGTCAGCAGTGCATATTTGGCTTTATGGAGTTTCTATTTACACACTCTCCCTACTTGATTTGCCTGAAGCTGCTGTAAGACACGACATTCTGCAAGGCAAGCTCTGAATATCCTGAGTTGGAGATACCGATAGAAAAAAAGGCTGATAAATATTCAGACAGGGATTTCACAGCAGTATTCAAGATAATAGAGAAGCTACTGAAGCTCTCCTTCAGTGCCCCCTGAATGGATGAGATTTAGGACTACAGGCTGGAAAGAGACAAGGACTTTTACTGAAAGCTTTATGTTGATACAAAGGGAAAATATTTTAACTTTTCTGGTGAAATTTCAGTCAAAGCCAAGCTATAGGAATCATTTAGGTTTTGTGTTCACATCCTGGTTTGGTTTTGATGAATTTATAATGGCCCGTTGTTTCACAAGGAAATGGAAACACAATGACAGACTGGCTTTCTTGCAGCCACTTGGTGTATTCAATACTAATTCACAAATAGCATCACTTGACCCAGTTCTGCATTTTTTCAGCAGAAAAAAAAAATAATCAAGCAGACGTTTTGCTTAGGTTTAAACAGAAAATCTGTGAGTCCATTTCCTACAGAAAGTTCTTCCCACAGTAGGTTCCTTGTTCAGTTCTGTCAAGGTTATCATCAGCCCCACACTGGCTGCTGAAATCCAATGAAGATGCTTCCATGTGTGGTAGTTCTGGGTCCCAAAGGTATTTGGGCTATGCTGTAGTTTGAGTATCTCTTACATCTTGGTTGCAAGTCCGGTTCGTGTATTCCCGAGGGTCTGTGTCACAGTGCCCCCAGTCCCACAACACTGAGCTGAAGCCTGGTCTCTGACATCTGCAGGCAACTGGTTTTAATGATCTTGTCAAAGCTGTGATTGTGCTATGGATTGTGCAATGCTAAGGGTGGAGATTTGGTAGAGAAAAATGTTTAAGGAATTTTAAAAGAAAAAACAACCCCAAACACTCCCTTAAAACTGAAAATGTCCTTCCCGGGGCAAGAACCAGAGCAAACTGCCTTGTGTCAGTGCACTGCCCTGCTATTCTTATCACATACAGCCCTGTCAGTCTCACCCATCCTTGCTGAGAACACGGAGCCCTGCAGCTTAACTGAGGTGTTTGTGGCTCCTGCTCTTCAAGAGAAGTACCAAGAAAAATGAACTGAATCCACTTCCTGTGTCCCTTTCCGCCAACATTGCTGTTCCCTGAAGACACAACTGGACTTAACAGAAAGTGGCTTTCACAGTGAAAAGTACATTCAGTCACCACTCCGTGGGTGCCAGGAATAGTGATGAAAAGAGGACTGGAATAAAACTGTAGCCAGCTGGTGGGAGAAATTTACTAGCTGCTTTGTGAGACTGAAGATGAACTGTACTACAGGTCTGAGTCTAACGCCTTCTCTACCACAAGGAGTTAATGCAACTGAGCTCCACATCTTAAACTGAAGAGAGCTGAAGAGTAATCTGGAGCAAACACAGCAGATGCTCAGGAACCTCTTTAGTTCCTTGTTCCAGTTTCACCATAGTATCTTCGCTCCTTTGTTTTCTCCCTCCCAACCAAGCAGTGATTACCTTTTTCTGTTGCACTGGTCATGGAAAATGAAGGCAAACAGAGGGAGAGTAAGAGTAGAACATGAAGAAGTAAATGACAACTGGACAAGTCTCTTAATTAACTGTCAACATCAGGTGCCAGACAGATATTTTAGTGTCTTTCAGGACACTTCCTCTGATGTGTAGATACACAGTCCTCTACAAGTCACTTAATCTCTGTTTTAACTCCTAGTTTCCCAGCTGAAAATGGTTGTTTGAAAATGATAATTTCCTCCCTGAAGTGCTGCTAAGCTTGTGGGAGTGAATAAAAAGGTGTCCTGAAGGCCATGAATGACATTGCTGAGGTAAGTGCAATACCCTGTGTGAGCCTGTGCGATTCAGCTGTCTTTCTGGGTATTTTCCACTTAGAAAGCACATAACCCTGAAAGGTGAATTTCTTTCTAATCCCCACAAAAAGCTTCTTGGGAGGGTCTGGCTACTACTGCCCACCTGGGCCAGCACAGATGACACATAACTCCTGCTATTTTATATCTTTGAAGGGTCAAAGGAGGTGATCCTGCCCCTCTACTCTGCTCTCGTGAGACCTCACCTGGAGCACTGTGTGCAGTTCTGGTGTCCTCAACATAAAAAGGACATGGAACTGTTGGAACAAGTCCAGAGGAGGCCACGAGGATGATCAGGGGCTGGAGCACCTCCTGTATGAAGACAGGCTGAGAAAGTTGGGGCTGTTCAGCCTGGAGAAGAGAAGGCTGCATGGAGACCTCAGAGCAGCCTTCCAGTATCTGAAGGGGGCCTATAGGGATGCTGGGGAGGGAACTCTTCATTAGGGACTGCAGTGATAGGACAAGGGGTAACGGGTTCAAACTGAAACAGGGGAAGTTTAGATTGGATATAAGGAAGAAGTTCTTTCCTGTGAGGGTGGTGAGGTACTGGAATGGGTTGCCCAAGGAAGTTGTGAATGCTCCATCCCGGGCGGTGTTCAAAGTCAGGTTGGACAGAGCCTTGGGTGTCATGGTTTAGTGTGAGGTGTCCCTGCCCATGGCAGGGGGTTGGAACTGGATGATCTCAAGGTCCTTTCCAACCCTAACTATTCTATGATTCTATGATTTCTCCTTTTGGGCAGATTTTAAAACATGCTGAAAAGAATCCCATAAATCTTCCATTTGTTTGGATAATTTCTGGCTACGTACATATCAACCCAGACCTTCAGAGGACTGAAGAAGCCCCTTCCAACTCTCCCAAGCTCGCTTTACACTTACCGCCTGATCTGTCTTGCTTCTGTAAACCCTCTGCAGAGTGAATTTTGATTTGGGTGACTCTGCGTGGATAGCCACAGAGAAGACTCCAACATGTCATTTTAGGCTTATCTGCCTTCAGCTCCCTGAAAAATCATGGGAAAAGCAACCAAAGTAATGAATGTCAAGCAAATAATCAATGGTCGTGGAAATCTGGCATTTACAGAACGTGAGATTTGTCCTCTTTCCTCATCTAACATTTTGGAAGTTTGTGGTACAGAAATGACAGGCTTAAGAAATAAATGCAGAGCAAAGCAAAGTAAACCAGATTTGTGTCATCTTTCACATGGCAGCAAAAGTGGTGGGAAAAACCCCAACAACTTTAAATCATGGAAAACACTATCAAAGCAAGAAAAAATTCAGCAGGCCTGATTTCATGAAGCACTAGTTTTGCCCTTGCAGACAACTACTGCTTTCAAAGGGGATGCTCAAAGAAATAAGCATTGCCAACTGTAACTGCAAACACTGCTCTGTGTTCTGACCTACAACTGGGGGCAACTACAAAAGCCAAACTAAAAGGTCAAAGGACCCAAACTGAATTGTCCACTAGGTTCATAAGTAAAAATGTCCTGACCATGCACAAATTCTTGTGAGGCTTCTGGAGGTGACCCTGACCATCTCAAGGGCCTGATTCTGGAGTGATATGATCTAGTGAGTCCGGGATATTTGCAGGCAGCCAGGTAACCATTTCCAAGGAGATGCAGCCAACGTGGGCAAGACAAAGGTTGCACTTGATGATCTTAAAGGTCTTTTCCAACCTAATTGATTCTATGATTCCATGAGTACAACCTACCTGAGTTTTGATGGCACATCTGTGAAGAGCCTCAGTATAAACTTGGTAGCAATGCCAGGATGATAGGTAGTTGGGATAAGGACATAGCGGCCTTGCTTGAGGATCCTCTTCAAGAACACAGTGCGCATGTTGATGTACGGAGACGTGGCCACTCTCTCCTGCACAGTGAGCTTGTGTAGTCGATAGCTTCTGTTATCCTCCACCTACAGCCACAGAACAGTACAGAGATTAATGCAAGGAAGGATACCAGAGCTAATAGGCAGGATTTTCCCTGCACATCACACAGCCTTTCATAGGCAGAAAAGGCAATGTGCAATAAAGGCAAATGGTTTGGCAAATGGTTTTTCACCCGCAGAAGCTGTGGCAGAGATAGTCCTGGTGGGCAGCCCAGTGTTCCAAGCACAGGCCCACACAGGCTCCAAAGCAGTGATGTTTCACACTTCACTGCATTATTATATATACACACGTATACCCCTAAGTAGAGGTGAAAGCTTGGGATGGTAAAGAGATGCACCCGCTAACAGATAAAATTCTACTGCAGAGATTAGAAGGTGCATTTAGAGATGCCTGCACGCTCCAAGTACTCTACCACTGAGATACAGTTGCCTCCTTTCTCTGTGGTTAACAGGTGACTATCATATGAATAAGTGTGATGCAGATGTGAGGAGCTCTGACTGTTAAAACTGACTATTTTTAGGGTAGGGTTCAGCATAGTCCCATTAGCTAGAGCAACGGGTGCTAAGATAACCCTGATCCTCAGTGAAAAAGCACACTCATAGCTGTTTCTCTTGCTTCCTTCCTTTCGGTTTGTATGTTCTCATTTTAGTCAGATTGCTCTGTCAAATTATTGTTTGGGATCCATTTGGTTCCTTTTCACATCTGCTCATTTCCTACTCACTACTCCAGCTTTTGAAAACACTCCTGACTCTCTTCTTAAGTGGCAAAAGAAAAACTCAGACTTTTCAAACTCATTCCCTTGGCTGTATTTGCTGATGAACCGGAGGCAGGAGCCTCCAGTGGGGAGGAGAAAAAAAACCTTTCAAGCTTTATTATTTTTTTGTCTTTCTCTTCAAAGCTTGAAGTAGGAAAAGCACTTAAAATCCTTTTGCAGTAGGGAAAAATGACTTCTGTTCCTTTAGTTCAAATAGAGTTTGAACTGAAGTAGATTCAATTTAGTTCAAATAGTCTGTCTAGTATCAGCTTTGGTGACTGAGTGCAGTACACAGGCAAAGCTCATGTTGAGAGAAGAGCCAGACCCCACCATGACAATCATGCCTCTATCTGCCAAAGATCTCATTGCCAGGATGGAGTGGGGCTGCTGCACAAACTCTGAGCCAGGAGTGCAGATCCTGCCTACCTTGAATATTTCAAAGCCAATGGGGATGCTGTCTCCTTTCCCTTCTTTCTTGTATTTGCGGCGATCCTCCTGTTGTAAGGAGACCAATACTTTGTCCTCAGTCTTCTTAACATCAAAGACGTACTAGTAAAAGAAAGAAAAGGGCAAGCAGTCAGAAATGCCTTGGGATAATGAGGATAAAGCCATCGCCGAGGAAATACGTGCATACAAAGGATGCAAATGAAAACACGTGGTGTTTGGAGGTGGGAGGAGAGTTCTCCATATAACAGACATTCCCAGCAATTCCCAGCTGAAAAATTAACGCCAATAATAAGGATCTTTAAACCAAAAGTATCAGAGACACTGAAACAGGTACTTCATATAAAGGACAGCATGAGACAGTATTACAAAATAAACAGGGCTAGGAAGAACTCTGGCATCTTTAACATGCAAATCTTATACCCAAACTGTTTAAAGTAAACTTGAATGAACCAGGGTTTAAGACTAGTCAAAGGAATTTATTTCAAGTTTAGGCAGCAGTTCCTATCTCAATAAATCAGACTTGCTTACATTATTAAGGATCACCACCAGACCAGTTCACGAATGAGTATGTAGCCTTGCAGTAGACAAAAGGTCAGATAGGTATTTCTTTATATGACAAAGAATTAAACACTCAAGTCTGTTCACTATTAGGGACTCCTGTAAATTTTCTTTCATGCATTCAGAGGGCAAATCTGAGTTGTCAGAACCAGTGGAAGAGGACACTATTTACTCCAAGCCCAGACAGATGCCGTATTCTCCCATCCTCCAAAGACCTTTAAATGTGAAGCAAGCAAATAAAAGCATAAAGCTGCAGCTCTGCACAGCTGGGTATTACGTGCACCACATGTTCTGATTTCAGCCAGAATTCCCTGACAGCACTCAGAGGAATATCATCCCTGGTTCAACTCCCCCCTCCCTTCTCCTCCAAGAGCTGCTAAAAAGCAAATCCCCATTGTGCTTTGTTCTGAGGTAGATACTGAGATTGCCTTGGTTACTGCTGTGGAATGATACCCTGTAATGACTTCACATCCCCCTGTGGTCCGAGCTCTGCAGAACAAGGCACCATCCCATTCCTCATCCCTGACCCTCTCTGTCCCAGGCAGTGTTGCACCCACATGGAGGGAACACCAATCTAGCAGAGCTGGCTGAAGCACAGCAGTATTGGAAAGAAAATCAATACTTTACCAAGCCCCTGGGCTTCATTTGTTGCTCGCAATGTTTATGTTCCAGATTGGCCTCCTACAGGACTACTGTTTGCTATTCTGGTTTTGGTATAAATTCAAGGCTTCTTTGTACTCTTATTTGTATGCTATATAAACATCGCAGCAGGGAAAGCATAGGACCCTGAAGAGAGTCCTAGGGGATGTAAAGAGCCTCTGCAGAATCTAAAAAGCGAGATACAAACATGCAGGAACACCTAATAAGGCATGTTTTAATTCTCCTCCCTGTTCAACCATAGGCAGTGTTACCTTGTCAGATAGCCTGAAGTGTGCCAGGGCAAATGGAGGTGTGAAAGGGGAACTGTGAAAGTGCATGAGAGCTCTCTTGGTCTGGAGAGAACTATGCAACTCTGATGATTTTTGATCTGATGACATTTCAGCTATCCGAATGGGTAACAAACTGGAAATTAGGGGGTGGTTGTAGGAATACATTTATACTGAAATTCCTTTATCTAAAGGAACTGGAAGTGTCACAATATTGCTCTGTACAGAAAAACTTCACAGGAGGTATTTCACTCGGGGAGCACAGACAGAGATCATCTCTAGATTATGGCAGTGTGTGCTGCAGTAATTTATTACAGCCCTAAGCTAACATAAATGTGTTCCAGCACTGCTATTAAGAGCCTTTTAATCAACTAGCCTAGAGATAACACTGGGAAAAAAAAGAGCTTCCACTGCACCAGGCATTGCACTCAACTGTAACATGTATATTTTGTTCTCTGTGGCAGCTAAACACTTACAAATGAGACCCAGACAAGCACTTGGAATATGTCCAGAATCATACAGGGAAATATCTGACTAAAATCATCCTCTGGAGAAGAGGCACTGACAGAAGACAGAGCAATGAAGAACTGCTTCTCCATCTACAGCTGTATGACAGGATGAGCTGGGAGTTTGAGATTCACTCCTAGTCTGAACAGCAAAGGCTGCACTTCTCCTGTATCCTGCTATGGAAACTGAGGGTGCAGACAGAAACCTCCCATACAATTGAAGAGAAGCAGACACAAGAACATCTTCAGTTAATCTAAAGTATGTGGTGAATTACAGAAGGACAGGAAGGTCAATTTTCAAAGTAATAACTAAAGCAGAAAGTGCTCAAATCTCAGTGGCGGTACTGGCAGTTTGATGCCTGAAATTGCATTCACTGGGATGAAAATGTACAACACAGAAGGGCAGGAGGGTGAGAAATGGAGTGAGAATGGATGAACAGATTAACTGAATTCCTTGAAACTTGCCAGGTAGGACGAGACAAGGAAATGTCTGTAATCCTGAGGAGACTGTGAGCTTGGGGAAGAGACTTCATACTTTCAGAATCTTAGATAAATACAAAGGGATACTATCTACATGCAGGGGCCCAAGTCCGTAGGCTGTTTAAGGATGTTAAATGAACGAAGTTGTCATTAGAAAAGTCAGACTTGCTACCTTTCTGGGAACTTCCCAACTGGGAAACTGAAGGAAGTCCACACAGGACTTCACTAATCCTGGTGTGTCTGACTCATCAGCCCCAAACATGATCAGTCCTAAACCAGTATTTCAGCTCCTCTGAGAGGTTTCACAGAAATCACTCAATCAAGCAGTGAAGCAACAAACTCCCAGAGGACAGCCCCAGGCAGTGAGACTTCTGTCAAGTCATCACTGCCAGCTCCCAAGCAGGGTGGGTATTTCAGAAGCTCTGGCTAAAATGGATACACTTCAATACCTCACAAAACACAGGGATTCCCACCTGGGGATTCTGAAGGAAGGTCTCTTTGTTATCAAAGCATCCACCAGAGCGATTTAGCAGGGGTTCTGAGTTCTTTGCCCAAGCGCCGTGCATCATCTTCTTCTCCCAGGTCTTGTGGATGCTGAAGTAGGAGGTATTCACAATCCGGCAGATGTCCACATCAGTGAAATTCTTACACCAGTCCTCAAACGTCATCCTGTGCCATGGGACACCAGGGAAGTAATGGTTTGCTTAAAAATAAACAGTGATACTCAAGCAAAGAGCCAAAATTACACATGAAATCTTCCAGTAATTTAAGAGGAGGCATTGCTCAGCTGTCCAGCTGATTCACTGGAAAGCTCTCCATGCGGAAATACTTGTGAAGCCACAATCACACTATCTTAGAGATTAATTTAGAGCAATACCACCTTAGCGTGGTTTGGTCAGCTCTGGATTTGTTGCAGCACCTACACCTATTAAAGGATAGGTTGCATCTACCAGGCTGAACTTGTTAACATGCATATTGCAAAGATAAAAGATTATCTGCAACCAAAGCACTATTCACACCTTGGTCCTTATTGCTACAACTGTCTCTGAGCAGGACTCAAACCTCTGTACTCTGGATACTGCTTTTATCTAGCACCATCTCAATGCTATAACCTGTGCCTGCTGAAGTGACAGACTGGCTTGCAGAGCAGTTAGAAACATTCACCTCCTCTAACAGCTTCATACCTCTGAAATAACACCATGCCCTGGCTTATTAATGTCCCAGAACCAAACCTTTCCAGTTGCCAGCTCTGACAAAGCCAAGCAAACAGAAGACTTTTCATACTGGGCCTTCCCAGCACACACTTGTGCAATATTAATGACCTACTGAAGCTGCTGCTGGATGGACTCGGCATATCTAAGCTTTAAACTGAGTCATATTAGAGTTCTAGAGATCTGTAGAGAATGAACACTTGTGCCCATGCTGGAAAACACCAACAGATACAAAAATTCTTTGGCTGTAATTGTATTTATAGATACCTCAGTGATGGTTGACCTAGAAATCCTAGAGATAAGCACAGTAGTTAGGAAACAGGATTGACACTGTGTTCAATATTTGGTACTCATGTAAACCAACACATGTAGTTTTGGATTCTGACTGAATGTCCTAAATACAGATAGAATCATAGAATAGTTAGGGTTGGAAAGGACCTTAAGATCATCCAGTTCCAACCCCCCTGCCATGGGCAGGGACACCTCACACTAAACCATGACACCCAAGGCTCTGTCCGACCTGACTTTGAACACCGCCAGGGATGGAGCATTCACAACCTCCCTGGGCAACCCATTGCAGTGCCTCACCACCCTTACAGTAAAGAACTTCCTCCTTCTATCCAATCTAAACTTCCCCTGTTTAAGTTTTAACCCGTTACCCCTTGTCCTGTCACTACAGTCCCTAATGAAGAGTCCCTCTCCAGCATCCCTATAGGCCCCCTTCAGATACTGGAAGGCTGCTCTGAGGTCTCCACGCAGCCTTCTCTTCTCCCAACTTTCTCAGCCTGTCTTCATACAGGAGGTGCTCCAGCCCCTGATCATCCTCGTGGCCTCCTCTGGACTTGTTCCAACAGTTCCATGTCCTTTTGATGTTGAGGACACCAGAACTGCCCACAATGCTCCAAGTGAGGTCTCACAAGAGCAGAGTAGAGGGGCAGGATCACCTCCTTTGACCTGCTGGTCACGCTCCTTTTGATGCAGCCCAGGATATGGTTGCTTTCTGGGATGAATAGATTTTGAGGGTGTTTGAAACTTACAGTTACCAAGAACTACTAATTTGGTTCTACTGGCTTTTAATCCATCGTTTCTGTTCTTCTGTCATCCCTCGAGGGTTTAAAAGAAACAGACCTTGTGCCAGGACTGGATAATCTTATCCATGGGGGGCAGCTGGTTTTGAAGTTGTTTAATGGCAGAATTAATGGCAATTACTCAGTGCAGCCAGTACCTGCAAACCCTTCACATGGTTCCCACTCACCAGAACTCTCCATCATTCTCAAGAGTGAGTCCCAAGCTCTTACGTTCTGAATTGCTGACTTTCTTCCACTCCTCGGAACTAAAAGGAAAAGAGGAATAAAGTAACAGCAAGGATGATTAATGACTTCAGTTAAGTACTGCCTCCTGGAAATAAAACTGCAAGGAAAATTCTCTGATAGTCCCTTATAAAGGTAACATCAGAGTACTGAAAGGACAGATGATATTCAGGAAGAAGTGACTGGCTTTTACAGGAGGAGTTTGAAAACATAAACTGATTTGAAAGCTGCTACAAAAGAAAGAGATGAATGGGAAATTGTCACAACTAGAGCAGATATTTGTTGATTTCCTTTGTCACACCCTCCCTTAGGACACTAAACCAGCTGGTTTGGAAGGCTGTATGAGATTGAATCCATTCCCTGGAGGCCCTTCAAAAGAAACCTAGTTTTCTTCCTCAAGAGCTTATTGAACACCTCACTTAGACCAGAGAATTCTCTTTGCCTTATAGCTCTTTAAATAAAAGAGACCTGAGGTCTAACATTTCCCCAGAGAGCCTTTGAGAAGAAATTGCTGCAGCAGGAGCCTAGTGTCCAGTTTCCAGTGTGACTACACTGCATGGACACCTCATTGCCTGCATTAACATACAGCTTACATGCTCTGAAGGCACCTGCCTCTTTCCACTGACTACAGGGAGCACAGGATCCTAAATGCAAGCAGTCTGATCTTTAAATCAGACAATATGATGGAAGACAGCGCGATCCCCTTCCCTAATGTGCTACATTAGACAAACAGAGCCACAATTCCTCTCTCCCTTTCCAGAAGTACTTGGAGGATAAAGCTGAAGGTGGTTGGCAGGAGGGAAGGGAAGCTGCTTGCCATAACAGACATTTTCTTCACCTATTTGGAAATTCTCAATTTAATTCTGTTAGGCCAAAAACCAGGGGCCAGCCTCAGAGTCCTCAGTGCTTCCACTGGCAGGAGTGGTGGCTGCGCAAGACAAGAGCTAGTGAAGAACCACAGGTTAAAGAAGACACAGTAGTTCTGCACATTCTTCACATACACCTGGACCAAACTCTTTGAAAGTAATTGATTATTGCTAGCTAAAGTATAAAAGGTAAGTACTTACCATCCTGTTGTTAAGAACACTACATTATTAAATGCTAACAGTGGCTGGTAAGCACAGCCCAGTTAAATGTTTTTTCATGTGTAAATTGCCAGTGATGGAATACATCCCCTCCAGCCATCATTTCTGTCTCTCTAGAGGTGCCTGCTGAGCTCGATGCCCACATTAAAATTCATTAGAAAATAATTCCAGGCATCACAAATGTGGCAATTTTACAGCATTTTTCACCAGTCACTTAAATTATCCAAGAATAAGAGGCTGATACCATCCCCAGCAGCTAGCAATTGCAGATGAGAAACTGAGTCACAGACAAAATCAGTGTTGAAGCTGGGAACAAACCTCATGTTCTTGACTCATCACTTAATCATAGACTGTTTTTCTACTTGTGGCCCAGTGTGCCAGAGCAGTGATGTATATATACAGTAAACAAAGGTCCAGGAAGCCATAACCTCCTGGCTCTTCCAGGATGTCTTCATTTGCTCAGAGAATGCTAACCGATGGCACAATAGTTCAGCCATCACTCCTAAGTACTGCAGACTGACGTTGTGTCCTAACAGTGTTTAACCATGCACCTAACCAGTGACCATAATCATAGTTTCATTCCTTTTGCAGCACTTACCTGTCACTCCATGCGCCACTCCACTCTCTTTTCCCCCAGGGATTCCTCAGCCTGATCATAAACAGCTTTTCTGCCTTGAAAGAGAATATGAGCCTCTCTCCAAGGCGCAGCTTCCGAATTGCAGTCACTGAGTAAGCATGGCCGATGACAAGACCCATCTCTGTCTCCACTTCACTGGCACTGCCAGAGGAAGCCTTTAGCACCAAGAATGACAAAAAGAACTCATATCATTGAGGGACCTGACAGACACATGTTCAAAGGGGCAGGATGGGGAAGGTTTGTTTTCTTTCACAGAGCTGTATGTTCTCTTCCCAAGTGTTTTGACTGTGCAGGAAGACAACAGCACTGGGGCTCAAAACTAGTGGCCCACTAGTCTTTTGCATGACACTGCCTGGCAAGTCCAGAGCACAGGAGAATGCTGCCTGCTACAGCCATTCTGTCTCCTCCTGGCCTCTGAGAGTTAAAGACTGGGCTGGTGGCTACAACAATTTCATTTAATGCATCCAGATCAAAATCTCAGCAGTACATCTAAAACCAGAACAGCAGTACCATGAAAAGATGCTGGAGTTGCTTTGAATGACTGGCCCTTTACAAAGCCAGTGCTTTGTTGCTTCTGAGCAACACATACCAGACAGAACAATGGAAAAAGTAAAGCTGTATCAGCGCTATAACTCTTTTTCTGAAAAGAAACAATCCAAATAGAGCCAGCATGGACATCTCTGCATTGAGCCACATCCAGTCTCTCTCACCTATGTTGGTCTATAGCCCAATGGGCCTATAGACACTTATTCCCTTGGCAACAAGGAAGGAATATTAGGTTTAGTTAGATTTAGAGCAGATCCTTGCATGTAAACTTAAAGTAAGCTAGTTAAAGAGCAAAATGATCAAGCCTTTGCTCTGGTGGAGAGAGTTGGACTTATTCAAGGTATGACACGCACACAGTGCTTTCTCAGATACTTTTACCCACTGCAGAATTCCTGTGGTCTAAACAGACATGGTCCTTCTCCTAATGCAGGTGTTGCACTGATACAACAGTGTTCAGTTCCCAAAGATAAGACATCAGGGAGGGGAAAAGACAGAAAAGAGCCATTTCTATCAAATTGGAACTGACAGATGGTCTGGCAACCGTGAGACTCTCGCCAACACCTCTTTGCCTTTCACCAACAGCACCTCCTAAAGAATCAGTTTATGTGTTACACCGAGACTGGCTGACATTTCCAATGGGTTTGAGCTTTCTCCAATGTAACACTTTCACTTGCATTTTTCACAACTAAAAGCAAACAATAGTCCCTGACAGCATGGGAGTCTGTAACCTCTCCTGCAGCTTTTGTTATCCCCCAGGCTTGGCTTTTCTTACTGCTAGGCTGCCCTTCCCACCTCATTCTGAAGGCATTTATTTATTTCAATGAGATATTTAAACATCCACTGTCTGTTCAGATCTCTAAATGGTGGACCTCAGGGCTATTTTATAATGCAAGGAAAATGATGACATGTTTGTAAGTCAGCAATGAAGCCACTTGAGTATTAAATATTCTATACCTAGCAAGCTTCGCTGTGTGTATAATACATCTATCAAAAAGTGATAAATGCAGACAAGTCAAGCCAAACCAATAGGAACAGCCTCTGTGTAAACAATGTTTAGAAGCATCTGTGTTTAACTTGACAGGAAGAAATATAATGCTAGGAAGAAGTGAAAGCATTACAACTGTCTGTTTAATTGTTTTCTAAATACAGCTCCCTGTATTTGGCCTATCTCCTCAGGAGATTCATGTTAAGAAACAACTGCCTTAGCATCTGGGAGCAACCTACCATCCCAGAAACAACGCTCACAACGTGATTCACGTGAAGTCTGGTTTGCCATCCATTATTAACAAACAGCACTACCTAAATAACCAAGGGAGCTCAGCCTCTCAGCTCAACTCAGCTGTACACTGACGAGACAACTGCACCTTCACAACCAAAGTCAGGAAGTCTCAGCAGTGCAGTGCCAGCAGAACTGTTTTCTCTAAACAGATTTCCCTAAGAAACAGAGAAAATGAGCGCTGCTATCTGGCCTGTAAACGAGGGCATTCTGGGTGGATTAACCTCGGGTCAATACCCAACTGTGACCACTCAGAAAGAATATTATTTCAGATCCACAGTAAAGTGGCAGCACAAACGGCTTTGTGGTTTTGTGATTGTATTTAGTGGCTCGTGGAGCTGTACAGCACTGCCACTTGCTAGTTTCTTCCATAGGAAGCTTTTCCAAAGCATACAAATGAATGACACACTCAATATAGTAATAGTGGTATTTTTCCCGGATTTTTTAAACTGAAATTAACTCCTCAAATCCACCTCTCTGTACGTACCGCAATGTAGCAGCTGATCAACCCGCCTCTTTTATGCACTTTCAGCAAGTCTTCAAACAGCTTCATCTGCTCAGAAATAATCTCGCCATATTTGCCCTGTACCAAATCAATAGATTCTGCCACTGCTCCAGTGAAATCCACAATTGCATCTGCAGCACTGCCTCCGTCCAGGGCTTCATAAGATCCAGCCAGCCTGGAGGCAACACAGAACATTCTCAGTTACCAAGTGGCTGTTGTAATTCAGCTTGAATGTAGGAAATACACTTGTGTTTCACCACAGAACAAAACATCAGCTTGCATATAACCATTTGCTGGGTTTCTAGGAAAGAAGGCGAATGACCCTTGAGGTTTTGGGCTGCTGAAGGAAAGGTACATTGCACTCTTACGACTCCCCAAAGGAGTTTTCAATCATGTTTAGGTTCTCTACTAGCAGTAAACCTAAAACCTATGGAAAATATGACAGAGTTGAAAGAAAAACAAACAGATGGATAGAAGGGACAGCACTGAGGACTAAAATGACAATGAATTAGTTCATACTTTGCATAAGCCTTCTCCAACAGTGCACTCCAGAATTCATTTTTCACATTGGAATGGCAGTAGATCAACTTCCCATCCATTGTTGGCAGCAGATCATCAACCACCACCTCTGTCCATTCTCCAAAGCACCAGAAACGGAAACGGAAAATCCCAGCGTATTTCTCTGGGTTTTTTGGGTCCCATTCTTGTTCGTTAAAATCTGGAATCACCTGAGGAACCATGGAAAGGAAAGTTCACCAAATGCACCATGTTAGGATTTGTCAAGAGGGCAGACTGCCCTGGGGCATGCGCTATGCTGGTATTCAGCTTTACGAGTAGTCGATCTCAAATAGATGAGGTGCAAAAAGAGGCTGAACTTGGTACAACATCAACTATAGTCCTATTTCAAAGAATCATTTAGGAAAGTCACATTCAAATTGCTCTGCAGGGAAAGACAGAACCTATTACACTATTAACTGTGGCTTTGTTATATCTCTTCTTTGGTGCTCAGTGGGACTGTGGAAGTCTCACAGGATGAAAAAGCAACTTCTGAAGAAAGCGAATGTGAAGTCACCAAAATTCACACTCATTAGAGGCACAATGGTTCTAAAGAGAAAAACACTGGTTGATAGGTAGGGAAACAACAGGGTTTGTTAGTTTTCATGTACCAAGCACACTGATCATCTACCTGCTGCCAGAGGTTCCTCCTCAGAGCCAAGCAGGAGCATGCAGCCACAAACCAGCAGTTCCCCAGGGTGCCTTGGTGTAAATCGTGGGAGCTGATTCCATTCACAAAGAGGTGCGGGTCTTCACAGAGGTCCTAACAAAGCAAAACAGCAGTTACTGGAGACTCCACTCCAGAAATGATCACAGCATCCTTCCAGCTATTCCTCTCCACACTTGGTGCGCATCACATTCCCACTGAAGAGTGGAGTTTCTGTACCAGGAAGTTCCAAAGCTCTCTGACACTGACTGTATTTGAAAGTTGTGGTACACAGGATTAGGTTTCTATAACTAGACTGTGTTGCTTTATCTAAACACCAGGATTTGCCTCTTATTTTATCAGTGTTCCTGGTTTTGCCCTCCGCTGAGGGTGATCTTTGAGGACTGGAATTAATTCAACATTTGGAAGACTTATTTGGCATTGGCACAGTTAATGAACTAAAAGTAAATTAAAGGAGAAGGAGGAAGCATGACAGGGAAAGGCTCTGAGCAGAAAGAAAAACATCAAGAAAAGCAGCAGGAAACGATGCTACTGACTCCAGAACTCTAAGCTCCTCTTCCTTCTCTGCCACTCCCTTGGCTGACATACTGGAAACCCTCTTCCACCACCAGCATGAGTTATTGCATCCCACCCAGCACCAAAGGCAGCAGCGAATACATGTCTGTGAATTATGCCTCTTATTCTCTGGGTCTTGTCTTGCTTATTTCTCTGGCTCTTATTAGAACCACTCCTTCCTCCCCTCCCATTGCTTTCCTGGCTCCGTCTCTATTCACATGCAGATTCTCACCAAAGCACAGTCATCTCTTCCTGTGATGTCTCCCTGTTCCTCACTAGCTTGCCCCTTGCTGTGTCTTTATAGCCTGCAGATCAAGGCAATGGAAGGAGCACCTCTAAGTATCACTGAACATGGGAAAGCCACAGGGGTACATTTTGCAGCAGTTTTGTGGTCATTACCAAGAAATCCTTGGTAGACAGTGTTCTGCTGAACATCTGTGGCCTCACAGTCGCAGAGAGAGCTTCCCAAGCAACCCTTCAGAAAACAGGTAATCTGCCTGCCCCAGTATTGGTATGGAAGCTACTGGTTTCAACCCAGTGATTGCTCATGACTCTTGTGTGAATCATTGTCTTCCCTGACTGGTTTGAGAGGATGGGGGAACAGAGAGCAGTAAGAAATTCTGCTCTTTCACAGTATAACTCTAAATTCCAACACCGTGGAAAGGAAATTATCTTATATCCAGGCATTAGAAATGCAGAATAAGTAACACCCTCTCCCCTCAACATGGCAGGAGACTGCAAATTCACTGCAGTCTTTCCAGTTGGTTATCAGTAGCAGAGTAAGGAGCTGTGCTCCTTACCTCATGGATCCTCACTGCCCTTTGATAATTACAGATGATAATCCCAAAACACCAAGACTGCAATCCAAGGCTGGCCACACACCAGGCATGTCAAAACTTCTCAGCCTTCCCTTTGATGGGACTGTGACAAATCAGTGCCAGCTGAACTTAAGTCTCAGAGAAAAGCAGCACCTCAGTGAGAGAAAAGCCTGTTTTCCTGGGCTACCTTAGCAGATGGCAGCTTGAAGTCAGCTCATGGTGTATAAATGCATGGTGCTGCTGCTGTTTGCTGTAAGAAAATGGTATTTTTGGCTTGAGGCATTTCTCATTAAATAACAATTGGTAGAGATTTTAAATGCCTCTTGGGAAACAAGTAACTGATCATTACATGACACTGTTCTTCTGCCAGCGTTTCTTACACCTCTTCACTGAGAGACATTTCAGAGCTTATTAACGGACTTTAACAGAATTCTGAATAACAAAACGGTGCCTATGAGGAAAACTGACCATGTACCCGATACCCATCTGCATCATGGACAGATTCATTTCATCTGCCTGGATGCTCTGATACAGAACAGCAGCAAAAGCTCCAGGCTAGGCACTTCAGCTGATGTAAGTCAACTCGGTTGCCTGTTGCAGGGTTGACATCAGTTAATTGCTTGGCCTTCATGGTGGTAAGCACACATTCCAAAGCCAGCTCGGATAGACTCAAGTTTCAGATCCCATTTCCATGCATCTCTGGCAGCAACATTTTCAGTTTGTTTTTCCTTTCAAAATGGTATTTTCTTAGCATAATAAACATGGGATAAAAGGAGCCTTCAGAATTAAAATTGTCCAAACTTCTCTGTCACTACAGGAAGCCAAAACTTTCAAAAGACATTAAGCACTACCATGTATTACAAATATCTGCTCTTATTTGGGTTGCTTTGATAAAAAAAAAACCACATTAAACTGGTATTTTTTAATTGAAGCATGTCTTGCATCTCACACAGTCCTCAGAGAAAAAACAGAGAGCAACACGTGTCAGCTGCCAAAGCTTATGGATGAGATTAACATTTGCTGATCACTGGGGTCCAAAGCAGACACGGAACAGCAGAGCTTAGGAACAGCACCTCCCTGATTCCACCACAGCCACTAAAGTCTTCAGGATCCTGCTTGATAAACCCTTTCTTATTAAGCTGCCTAGAAGCCCTGGACTGCTGAGACTAAACACCAGAGTAAGAAAATGACATTAACTCTTTTTCTCTTGTCATTAATTACAGCCACTATAACAGCTTCTGTGATGGCTGTCACTGTGTGGCCCAGATGAGATGCACACCACCACTCAGGTACAAGCTCTGGCTGATTTCAGTTGTCTGCTCTCTCGGGCTTTCTGCTTTTCACCATTTATGCAGAATAGTAAATTCTAAGGGAAACTTTTGAGATGGCATCAGCTAAACCGCAATCCCCCCACTACAGCTGGAAATGTGCTATTTAAATACAGTTTTCTGCAGTCCTTGGGAGGATCTTGAAGCACTTCTGGTTGTCCCAAGCATGTAAAAAACCCCCAACCAAACACACCCCCCCCCCCCCCAACCTTTCCAATAATGTTCCCAGCAGTGATAATTTTGGACAGCTGAAGGACCAAGCCATCAGTGGAATTACAAGAAGAGATTGACATGAGATGTGGCCCAGGAGCTTCAGGAGACCTGGTGCCTTCTCTCCCTTGCAACCTAAGCACCCAAGCACTTGGACACTGAAGTGCTTCCTTGGCAAATATAGTGGTTTAGCCCTTATCCCTTTGCTCAGGATCAGCCTGCATCATCTGTGCTGTAAAAAAAAGAAATAGCTTCACACTTCCAAGAAAAAGTTTAAAGGAGGTTACTGAGTTATGATACACCATTGACGTATAACAGCCACACTATTTCTGATACGCCACCACTAATAAAAGCATTTGTCTTATTATTTATGCCCACAGGGAGCATTCCAGCATCCAAGAGAGAGCTCTCCCCAGTTCTCCCCTTCTGCAAGTGCATAATGAAATAAACACCATCTGCAGAACTATAATTAGGCTATATAGTCTGAAAGTGAGGTAAGAGGATGCAGGGGCTCAGAGTTCTGCTGAAAACCTTGATGCTCTTCTTTTCATACCAGACTTCCATTTGCATGACAGAAGTCTATTTGTGTCATCTCCTATCCTTGCTACTCTGCATAGGCTTTAAAGATGTGACATTCAGTGTTACTCAACGACGATGCTGTGAGAAATAAAGTGGCTCACAAACCCCTTTTTCTGATTTAAATCGGTTTCTCTTCATAATGGAGTAAATGAACTGGTTAATACTAGGTTGAGAGAACACTGAGCAGTCTGGAGATGAGAAGCTCAGTTAATGTGGGATCACAGAAAACAACAGTGGGAGAGACCTTCACAGGCAGTCAGTCCTAACAGTTGCCTAGTGTCCAAACTGGTTATCCCAAACCTACTTGTGACTGAAGCTTCTTTAACCTCCATTTAACACAGTGCATGGGGGAAAGTTCACATGCTTCCTCCACTGGTCAGCATTGATGGGCTGCTCTACAAACCCAAGACTTCTGTGAATGGAGAGAACAGTTACTTTTCCTTTCTACAGCTACCCCTCATATAATCTAAAAGCCTGTAACAATTCTCTCTCTTCTAGTCTTAGTAACTGGTTCTTTGTATTTTGTATCACTGGTGAAGTGCAGTGCCCAAATCCAGACACTATGCTCCAAATGAGGCTTCAGCAGTGCTGAGCAGAACTCAAAGCTCTCATTTACTGAAGCTGGGGTCCTGTTTTCCTGTCTTTTTTCACTTGAACTTCACACATATAACTTGCATTCAGACTGTGACCCAGCCTTTGATCCTGTTCTACAGACTTGCTGCCCAGTCATTCTTTCTCCCTAACTGAGCCATGAAGTCACTTAATACCAAAGCACTGAACTTGGTTGCATTGATGAAGTGATGCTGAATTCCATCCTATTTATTCCACACTATTTTCTCAAGACATCAAGATAAGTTTGAATTCTCCACCCTGCAAACTGGCTTGCAATCGTATCTCAGTCCTTCAGAATTCCCATACATGCTTTTTTAGCCCCTCATCCAAGTAGTAATGAAAATACTGAAGAACAGAAGACTAAGGGAGATTTCTGTAGGGCTCCATCGATACAATGCCAGCCTGAGAGTGCTCCAAGTCATTTATTTCACCAGCTCTGCATCCCTGTTACAGAAGTTTGAATGAATGATTTTTCATACTGTGGAGAGACATACCAGATATTGCCACTCTTATGAAAGTCAAACTATACCAGATCTACTGCTCCTCTCTAAGTCACAAGATCCATCCCATCACATGCTGGAAGGAAATCAAGCTGGTAAATCAAGCTGGTATGTATTGGTGACACAATCCGTTTTTATAATGCAATCTATGCCATTAGACTAACAGTCATCTGCTCAGGTCTGACAAACTGCAGTCAGGAATTTCACTGGGATACAAAATGTTTGGACTGAAGTACAGAGATGAAAGATGGCAACTTGGCTTTTGCTACAACATCTCTTTCTTAGGAAGTTTCAAAACAATGTGAACCATGGCAGACAACAAACACCCATTTCACTGGAGCTACGGAATGGTTTGTATGTTCTCTTGGCATAAATATTATCAATTTCCATGAACTAAAAGTTATGCTCTATTGGTTATAGCAGGGAGAAAGACATCCAAAGGGTTAATTAATTACCTGTGTGTCTTCACAGATAGAAACTGAAGCTGCACTGTG